GCACACACGGCACGGGGACGACGGGGCCGTTCGCGGCGGGCGCCCTGCGCTGACCGGCTGGCGCGAGCGCGGCCAGGCCGGCGTCTTCCCCGGCAACCACGTGGAGCCGCTTTGCTGAGCCCGGTTCGGCCGCGCCGGCGGGAGCGACGCTGCCCCSGACGGGACGTTCCAGGGGATCCCGAGGCTGTCCCYGACTGGGATGCTTTGGGGGTCCCAATGCTGCCCCTGACTGGGACACTCCAGGAGTCCCAATGCTGCCCCAGCCGGGACATTCCAAGGGATCCTGAGGCTGCCCCGGACGGGATGTTCCAGGGGATCCCGAGGCTGTCCCAGCCAGGACGTTCCAGGGGATCCCGAGGCTGTCCCTGGCCAGGATGCTCCGGGGCTCCTGCTGCTACTCCCGGTCAGGAGGCTTTGGGGGTCCCACTGTCCTCCCAGCCAGGACGCTCCGGGGGTCCCGCTGCCCCCCCGYCTGGGAGCCCCCGCTTGGCCTCACCTTTAGCTCTGCCTTTGCCGATCCAGCCTTTCGCTCATCCCCTTCCTTTGGCCCCGTGGTGGGAGGACCTCCCGGTGCCGCCCTTGTCCCTGCCGCCCTGCTCCCGGCCCGCGCTGATTCCAGAGCCCTGGGACGCAGCAGAGCGCCAAGGGAAGAGCAGCGGGGAGGGCTGGGTCCCCGACGCCCCCGCAGCCCCGGGCAGGGTCCGCAGAGCCCCCCAGCCCGCTCCAGCGCCTGCCACCACCGGCTCGCGCGGCTGCAACGCAGAGCTAGGCACATAGACATGTATCTGTATTTTTATAATTCCATGGCTTTAAGTTCCACACAGTTGCGCAGGGTCCAGAGGAGGAAGAACAAAGAGATAGGAGGAAAAAAAATAATAAAAAAAAAAACAATAAAAAAGAAGGAAATAAAGGAGGAAAACCTCAGGGCTGCTTTGGTTATTCTCTTCCTTCTCCAATTTGCTCTCCAGGTWTCTGCGCTTCCGAGTCGCTCCAAGCCGCCCTCGGGGGCACTTAAGGCTGTGGCTAACCCTGGGCCAAGCCAAGCCAAGMGAGCAGCGAAGCCTGCAGCCACCCCCACAATTAAAAGTGCAATTAAAAGTGGCAATTAATACTGGGAGGCCGGGCGGGGGGGGCGGGGCAGGGAGGGCTCCCCCTCGGCCCCATCCCCGGAGCCACGACTCCCGCTCCGGCACCTCGCATCCAGGCGGGAAGTAAATCCCAGCGAGGCGGAACGGGGCCTTGGGATCTGATCCAGGAAAGCCCCCGGGCCTGGAAGTTGCTTGGGAATGCTTGGGAATGGCGCTGCAAGGCCAGGGAGGAACGCTCGGCTTGGCTCCGGGGACGCAGGAGAAGCCCGGCCCTGGAATGGGACCATGCCCCAAGGCAGAACGTGCCCAGCGCTGACACCAAACACTGATATCAAACACTGATATCAAGCACTGATATCAAACACTGATATCAAACACTGATATCAAGCACTGATATCAAACACTGATATCAAACACCGACGTGGCCGCGGGGACAGGACCTACGGGAGGTTCCCCTGCAGGGCACCCCCTTTCTGCAAGGTTTCCCGTTATCCCCTTCCCGTTTTCCAGAGGGCAAAGCTCCCAAGAGGCAGCTGGATCCATGGCATCCTCCTCTGCCCGGCGGGGGCTCGCGGGAAGCTCCACGGGCCCCCCGGGAGCGACGCGCAGCCCAGGAGGCCAACGCGGGCGGAGGCTTCGGGATTCGGCCTCYGGGAGAGCCCGGGAGCGCCCGGAGCTGCAGGTTCAAGGCCAGAACCGGCAGATCCTGCTAAGGACCAGAGGGGCCCCAAAGGAGCCGCGGGAGCAGGATGTGGAGCAGGAGCCGGACGAGCTCCCGCCTGCGGGGCCCTGCGTTTAAGACGAGCTCTTGCGAAGTCCGGCGGGACGGGGAAGACGTTAGTGTCACCAAACACGCACGCAGGAGCAGATGTGCGAGCTGCATAGAGGAGATGGCATCTCATTCCCGAGGGGAGAGGTGGGACTGGAGAAAGTGCTCGAGAGTTACGGGGGAAAAGGGAGGCTGGCTGAGGGGAAAGGGAAGAGGGCAAGGGAGGAGACCGCGGAGCGGGATTTGGAGCGAGAAGTGCTGCCAGGTGAGTGCCAGGTAGGAGAACCCTGGAACATCTCCCTCCCCTCGCTATGGCAAGCGAGTCCCTTTCCAGCCGCCCTCAACATTTTTTCTTGAGGACCTCCTGGAGACTCTGGGCAACTTCTGTTGCTGATTCCCAGGCTACAACAGTGGCCTGGAAGGCTCCAGGCTGCTTCTTCTCCATCTCTTGCACCATCTGGTGCATGGGGTAGCCCTTCCGAGGGAAAGCAATATCGCTCGAAGTCAACGTGGCAGAAGGGCAGAAGTCATTGGCACCGTCACCAACGTAAAAGACCCTCTCAAACTCCACGTCCTCCTGGGCTCTTTCGGCCAGATACTCCGTGAGGATTTTGCGCTTGCACATGTTGGCCGGGCACTCAAGGCACTTGTGACTGTGATAGGGCCCCAGGGTTAAATAACCCCGCTTGTCAAAGCCAGACGGGTTGCTAAAGATTTTGCGGAAGAGGGAGTAGACACCAGCCGCCCTGAGAGCGCATTCGATGCCAAACATGTTGGCATCGGAGATGAGGATCATCTCGAACGTCTCCTGGTTCTTGGAGAGGAACTGGAAGAGCTCGGGCATGCCGGGGGACAGGGGGATGTTCTCATAGACAGCCTTGAAGTCGCCCATCTTGACGCCCTGGTCGCCCAGGTAGGCCAGCACGCGCTGCATGTACTCGTTGTAGAAGCCGTCGCGGAAGCTCTGCCGGAGGCGCTCGGGAAGCTCCCGGCCCGGCGCGGCCCGGATGACGGAGTCGTCGCTGTTCTCGTTGACGATGGTCTCGTCGAAGTCGAAGACGAGCAGGTATTTCGGAGGCGGAGGGCTGGCCATGCCCACGCCCTGCAGGTGGGAAGGAGAAGGCCCGTGAGCTCCCTCGGGACCACAAGAGCTGGAGCGCTCCGCCAAGCAGCGCTACTTRGATAAGTTACTGCCGTCTGTCTGTCTCTGTTTATCTTTTTAGCCTCGCTGGAGGGAGAGATTAATCCAGCCCTGACGTCCCTTGGCCCTGACCCCAAGACGTTTATCCTTCCTATAAAGAGATCACTTTGTCACCGCTAATCCTGTCACCGTGCCGAGCAAGGGCTGCGCGACCCTCAGGGGCAATTCTGCACAGCTCCCACCGCCACGTCCAGCAAAAACGCATCTGCATCTTTGCAAAATCCCTCGAGTTTCGTGGCACAGGGGCCGTGTTTCTGCCTCCTAAAGCTGGGAAGAGACGTCCTTGCACGGAGCGGGTGAAGCAGAGACGAGAGCACTGACCTTAAACAGGCAGGGCAGCCCGACGCCCTCGCAGCACCTTCTCATTTTGGCATCCCCCGCCGCAGTCCCGAGGCTTGAGGGCTCGCTCGGCGCTGCTCCTGGCACTGCAACCCACAAGGGCAATTCCGCTTAGTCACTTGGCTTCCCTCCCTGCTCCCACTTGGGATGCGGCATGGGGAAAAATCCCGCCCGCGGGCCCCGCCGCCACTGCCCTCGGAGGGGACCCGCGGCTGCATTAAGTCCCCGGCGCCCAAAGCCGTGACCTTCTGGGCCAGGAGCCGAGGAATTAAAGTCACCGGGAGCAGGGCGAGTGGGCAGGGGCCGCTTAGCGCCTCTGATCCCGCTTAGCTCCGAGCAGCCAGCCTTGGCTCTGCGGGAAAGGGAGCTGCCACAGCGCTCAGCAAGGAGCCCTGCAAGAGCCGCCCTGCTCCCTGATGGCCCCGGGCTCGTTCCAGTATCAGTAATTATTGTGTTTTTTAAAAAAAAGGAGTAATTATTCTGGCAAGGAGAGCCTGGCACGGGCAGCAGTGGGGAAGGAGCGGTGCCAGGCGGGCGCCTGGCGCGAGGCTCCGATTCCTCCTGATTTTTGCCGACCTCTTGTGGTCCATCCCGAGAAAACCAGAGTGACGGATCCCAAATACCRTTTGTTCCAGATTTGCCTCACTTTAAGCCCAGCATCAAATCATCTTGGCCACAAGCAGCTCCAGACTGCTAAAATAACGCAGCAATTCAAGGAGACTGCGGTAAAAAACGGGAGTGGTTGCTCAAAATGAACCGGTGCCCAAGCGACCTTTTTGTGGTGCCGAACAGGCAGGATTTATTTCTTCATGAAAGTACCCATTAAAAAGCATGTTTGTTTACAGATATATTTTGAGGGGAACCAGATCATGCTACACCCAGTCTGGGAGTAAAATTAGCTGCCTTGATTGTCAGAGCCAAACCAAGGAGGGGAAAAAAAACCCTAAAATCCACCCCCACAATTACTCTTCCATGATTCYTCTATTTCTCATCATATTCTAAGGAAGTGCCCAGGCTGAAAGAAAGGGTGCATTAACGATGCCATCGCGCCAGCATGATGAAGAGCAYGGAGCACTGGGATAAGCCCCAATTCCTGGGCCCAATATATATATATGAGCCTAATATATATATATATATTGCAGCTTGCAAACCAGAAAACCCTACAGGAACAGCTCTCCAGTTCCCGAGCAGGGGCAGATTAGGTCAAAACCAGAGCAGCCTTTTTCCTTTTAAGTCTCTTTAATGCTTTTCATCCGGAGTTCCCCAAATACCTTGCACGTAGTCACCTCTCGTGAGGYGATTAAAGTTTCCTTACATATATATATTTWAAAAAAAAGACTTTTAAGTTGGAAAAACAATCGTTGAGGTTCCTTTTAGCCCTGCGCGTTACAAGATAAGGCACGGGGTCTGGAGGAGCCCTTTGCTCCCTGGATTATGCGGGAGTTTTTTGCTGAGCGTTTTGCCCTTGCTCCCCACGTCCCCGCTGGCACCGGAGCCTCCACCGGGAACGCTGCAGCCGCTCCCGGGCCAGTCGCACGGAGTCCCCTCCGTGCCGAGCGGCTCCGGGGCGGCTTTCCCTGCGCGCCGGCGCCTCCGGAGCACCCGGAGCGGGGCCAGCTCCGCAATGTGCCTGGATTAAAAACCACCCCGGCCGGGGCTGAGGCGACGCAGCCCTTCCTTGGCTCTAGCTGGACACCYCTCGGCTCCGGGAGAGGTATCCCTGAAAGAGCAGCCGGGAAGCGCCAGCCCGTCCCGCTGGTTCGGGCGGCATTCCCAAGGGAAGCRCAAAGCCGGCACGCTGGCTGCCAGGACCCGAGTTTCCCTCCCAGCCTGGGCGCRGATGCCCCCGGCACCGTCAGAGCCCGAGCAGGATGAGCGGAGAGGGTTTAAACTCGCTCGCCCTCCCCGTTAAACCCGGCCCCGAGCGCCCCGCGGGGCAGACGCCCCGTCCTGGACACGGGCTCCGTTTTGTCCCGTCCCCAGGCGGGTCTGGCCGCAGAGCAAGCGGTTGGAACGGCTGATCCCGCAGCACATCCCAACGGGMGCCGCGTTCCCGGGAAGCGGTCGCAAAGGAAGAGCAGGGAGCCCCGAGCGGATCCCGCTGCGCAATCCCCRCGGCGGCCGGGTTCCCGGGAGCCGCCCGCGGCCTCGGCTGCCCCCGCGCGACGCCAGCGAGGCCYGGCCGGAGGCTTATTTACTTATTTATTTATTTACTTTAAATCTGGCAGGAATTTGAACCCCGCGGCTCGGCAGGAGACCGAGCGTCACCTGAACTCGGGGCTATTTATCCGTATTCCGGGGCTATTTATCCGTGTTCCTTTCTGGACTCACCTACGGGCGGCTTCCCGGCACAGCCTTCCACCGTCCGCAGGAACGGGCGTCCCTCCAAAGCAAAGCGCAGGCGGCCGCGCTTCCCAACATCATGCACAGCCCGAACGCTGAAACGGAAGATAAAACAGGGATTTACTTATAAATTGCAGCAAATGCAACAGCTCTGATGTCCTGAAGGGGTTTACACCCCGGATCTTGGTGCTTTTGCAGCCCCCTGGGCAGCAGCCCGGAGCATCCTGGAGGATTTTCCTGCCCGGAGGCGGCGTGGGCAGGGAAGGCTGGATCCCAGGGCTGGATGCAGCTTTTTGGGGCTGCACAGAGGAAAAATCCAACTCGTGCAAAGCCCAGGCTCGCTTCCCAGCCTGGAGAAGGGGGCAAGGAACGCCAAGCTCCTGCTTGGGATGAATCCCAACCATCCTCATCCAGGCCCGTGGTGCCTGGGGCCCCTGATGCAAACCTGCCCGCCTGCCCCGAGGAGAGCGTGAAAAGAAAAACGGGAGATTCTTGTTGCCCCAAAAGCAAAAGAGGGGAACAAACCCCCTCCCTGCACCGCCTCACGCGGCGGCACATCGGGCGATTCCGCTGCTGCTGGAATAAAACGCGTCCGGCCGGGACTGCAGCTCTGCGCCGCTCCCGAAGCCGGAGCCGATAAATTCAAAGCGGATAAATCAGCCCTGGGAACAGAGCTGGAACCGGGAACCGCCCGGACAGGGGGTCGCTGCTCCGGCTTGGGGCAGCATCATCACCCCAAGCTTCCCACTTCCCAGAGCTCTCCCGGGATCCGAGCGCTCCCGGGAGCCACGGAACGCTTGAGGCTCGCGGGAAGCSATGGGAAGGCGCCGCTGCCGGCACAACGCTCCCTTTGCCGGCTGGGGACGCGGCTCCGGAGCAGCGTCCTCCCGGCAGGGAGCAGCCGGCCCGGCCGGCGGGGATCTGCTGACGCGGTGCCGGCTGACGCTCGGGTCAGCTCGGGTCACACGGACGGCTGTCGGCTGTTTTTCTTCCTTGCTGCTTGTTTTTCCGCCTGTCGGGAAGGGAGACGCAGCGGGACGGGACCGGGGCTCCCGCGTCGTCCCCGCGGCCCCGGCTCGGATCCGTGGACCCAAAGCCGGTGCCCGCTCCGGTATCGCCCGCCGCAGCCTCCCCCAGCTCCGGACCCACCCCGCGGCTGCAGCCTCCGGAWCCAGCGTCCGCGGCTGCCCCTTGGCCTCCAAAAACGCAGCTTTTTACCCAAATCTCGCGTTTTGCACCTAATCTCCCAGAGCGCCCGGGAAGGGACCTTTCTGCTCCCCTCCGTCCCGGGCTCGGCCCGGATCAGGGTTTTGGCTCGGGAGCGGGGAGCCGCAGCAGGAGGTGCCCGGGACGCTCCCGGGATGCTCCCTGCGGACCGGGCCGGTACCGGCTCTGGGATGTCTCCCGGAGCCGATGCCGCCCCCGGTACCGTGTCCCGGGCACGCGGGCTATCGGGCCAAGGGCGGTTCCGGTGGCACCGGCGCCGCCTCCCCGACGTGCCGCATCCCGGCGCCGCCGCCCCGCGCCGCTCCCSGTACCGGCACCGGCGCCGACTCACGCGTGGCCGCTGCTGGAGACGCCTGGGCCTGGCGGAACCGGCGACGCTGCGGCGGCTGCTCGCACACCCCCTTCGCGGCCGGGGCCTGCCGGTTCGGTTCGGAGCCCCTTTCCCCAGCCCGGGACCGCCGGTACCGGTGGCTAAGCGGGTGGTTCGGCGGTGAGCGCGGCCGGTGCCGCCCCGCCGGGGCTGCCGGCTCGAGCCGGCTCGGTCCGGACTGGGTCGGYCCGGTCCGGTCGGTCCGGTCGGTGCCGGGCGCTGCCGCGAGCGCGGCCCCTTTAAGGCGGCGGAAGCGGCGCGGCTCCCTGGGACAACCGCAGTCCCCATACGTCACCGCCCGCGCAGCCAATGGGCGCCCGCGCCGCCGCGCATCAAAGGCGCCGCCGCCCCGCCCCCTGCGGGGAGGGGGGAGGCACCGACAGCAGGGACCCCCCCCCGGGCCCGGGTCACCCCGGGCACCCCCCGCCCCCTCCTCCGTGGGGCTGAACGGAGCCCCGCTCCGCTTTTCCCGCCAAACCTGGGCAAATTGGCAAAAAATGGTTATTTCTTCTAGAAGCCCCTTAAAAAATAAATAAAAAAACAAACAAACAAAAAAAAAAATAAAAATAAAAAATAAAAAAATAAAAATAAAAAAATTAAATAAAATAAAATAAAATAAAGTAAAAAAGTAAAAAATAAAATAATAAAATAATAATAATAATAAGAAAGAATAAATAACCCTCCGCCCGGGGCCCCCCTCGCAGCGCCCCGCGAGGCGGCTACGTGGCACGGAGCCCCCCCGGGCGGGAAAGCCGCGAGCGGGGCCCGAAATGGCGCGGGGGGGTCGGGGGGCGCCCCGCCCGGCGGCCGCTAATGACAGAGCGGCGGCGCCGGCCCCGGAACGGCCCCGTCGGGGAGGGGCGGCCCGGGCCCCCGCGGCCCCCCCGCCGCCGGGCGGCTCCCCGTGACCCAACCGCGTTTGGGGGGGCGGCGGGGGGCGGCGCTCTGCTCCGCTCTGCTCTTTAATTAAGGCGACGTCCCGGAATAGAAGCACCCAAGTTGAGCCCCGTGGGCAGCGGGGGGGCTTACGCCGCGGGGCCCCCCAGCCCGGAGGTGCATCCCGGGCGCTCCGGCACTTCCCTACGGGCTCCTGCTCCTCGCCCGCCAAGGGTCCCGCCGGCGGCGGCCCGGGA